AGTCGACACTTCTGGCGTAATGAAAAACATCCAGATCATGATATGGACAAGAGAAATCCACCTGAAAACCATATTACTGTCACACAGACAGGTCATTTGATTGATGAGCTTTTTTTCGGTCTTGACGCACCATATATTTTAACATGGTAGGTAGTTCTATTTTTGTAAAAAATAAGTTCTATTTTTGTAAAAAAAATTAAGTAGATATCTATAACTTATAATATATTGTTCAACCATAAAATCCCGATATCTAAAATCTCGAAAACCATAATCCCGACATTACGCGGCGTAACAATTAATATTTAAAGATTAGTAATCATATTAACAATCATTATCAGACTTTAAATTTAATTGTCACATCGTGTGATGTCGGGATTATGGATTTCGAGATTTTGGATGTCGGGATTTTTTGGTAGAACCATAATATAAGAGGTGATGAAACGTTAGAGGCAAGCGCCGAACGGGTTCATAAAGAAAATAATAGGGATGGACGTATACCCGATTTTCGTTTACGAGTTATTATTCCAAAGAGAAAAGTTAAAACCATGGTTGGCGAAAGTTGTCGAAATGGTGCTGATGAAAATAAAGTAACAGGAGATCGTGAAAAAATGATAAGAATGATGAAGGATGTTAAAGAACGACTAGAAAGGGAATTAGTCAATTACAAAACCACAGACATTAATTATGAGATCAGAGAACAATTTAACGACATAGATCTATTCGCTATTCAATCAATTGGTGAGCCAGCTAAGATTCATTTTTATGCGCATATTTTCAAATTAGATTATTTCATAAGAATATCATAATATTCATATATATATGGATTAGGTTACACCAAACTTGCCTTGTTTATATTTGATTTGGTAGGCGGGATATTTTATCGGTTACGAAAATTCGCGGTTGTTTCTATCCCCTTTTCACCATCTCAAGCAGAAGATGTGGAAAACTTTATATTTACTTTACTCAAGTTTCGGGTATGTCTCATCTAACTTTGATAAACATTTATAAAATTTCTAACTAAAATGTTGGAAGTAGTTTGCTGTCAATAGATCTGCGACTAAGATTATTAAGATTAATGAAACTGTAAGAAAGTATCGAAAAGAACTGTATTCAATTATTAGTAACACATCTGAATATCGCCAGATGCTTCCAAATTATGTTACACCGCTTTCACCTCCACACGATTGAATTTCCAAAAAGCTTTATTCATTTATAATCGATGTTTTATAATATATGCTCCATAATAAAATAAAGTACTTGTCCATTGAGACAACACTGCAAAAAATAATATATTCGCTTATATAGAGTAGCAGACTGTATATATTAATTTTTTTATTTTTTTATATCAATAATCAGTTTACTTTTGCATGCGTATTTCCTGACCATTGGTCAGGATATCACGTGTTTTATTTATGCTACGTTAACGACCCTAGCGTCGCCCTCAAAAAATAGTAGCCGGGCAGATCTGCCGGTTACATGTTAGTATGTGATTTGGATTTGATTATGAACAATTCAATTACTAATCAGAAAATGTCCTTAGCGTATTTATGAATTGTTGTCGGACAATAAATATGGTCTTTAAGTTTTTCATAAGAATTTTTTTAATGAATAACATAAATCGCTTAAAATTTTATTGTTTATACGTTTTCTTTTGGTTATATTTGTAGGCAAATTCAATTTTTTTACAAGCATTTGTTTTTTATTTCTATTTTGGACCAATAAGTTAATAATTTCAAAAAAAGTGCTTCATTTAGTACTATTAAAAGCGTTTATGAGACTAATCCAATGACCCAAAGGTCATAATGGATGGTATTTATTTAAATTACCAAAAAATATTCATGTTAAAAAATAAACTCATTTATTTCATTATTACTATCATTCTAAAAATTCTTGAACTTTAGATAATTTTTTTGCAAGATAAAATTTTATAATGTCGTGCCAGTTTGTTCTTGAACATGATAATTTAATTTGGTTTTGCATCGTAAATTTTTTTACTTTAATTCCTTTTTCATTCCAATAATCTTCATTATTTGAATAGCATGAATCCTGTGCAGGATTTGGGTTGTTAATCTGACATAGAAAAGAACTTATCATTATAAAAAAAAATTATTTATTTAATGTGCTAATAATTAAAGGAAAAAAAATTCAAATAAATATAAAGTAGTATAAAACTATAAGCAAAATTCATAAAAATTTTAAGCAATAACAGCACAGCAGTAACGATGGTAGAAGAAAAAAATTTTTATTCATTATTGTATATTAATGATAATGAATTTTACAAGTACACAGTGGTAATGATAATGAATTTTACAAGTACGCAGTGGTAATGATAATGAATTTTACAAGTACGCAAAATTGCCAATAATCAAATCCGAATCACATAATAATGTGTACCCGACAGATCTGTCTGGCTACCATTTTTTGAGGGTAATGCTAGGGTTGTTATGCTACATTAACCCAAAAATTAAACAAATCGTTTTTATAAAAAGTTATTACTAAAAATACAATCTGAATTAGATTTATTAAAACAAAGAATTATTGAGCTTGAAACTGAAAATGCTAGGCTTAAGGTTAAGGAAGCGGGTTTATGGTTAGAATAATGGAATGAAAACAAAATGTCGAAAAAGCAAAATTAAGAAAGAAACAATTTGTAAAATTGGAGCAAAAGCAATTGCAAAATAATTATGTAGACAGGTTAGACGCTTCTTTTAAGAGTATTATTAGTGCATCCGATCCTGTTATAAACCAGTACATTGGCCATGCTAGCTTCACTGATACCAACTCCAAATCATTAGAAAATGATACTCTGCATCACTTATCTATATAGAGATTAAATCATTGAAAGAGAAAGAGACAAATGACTTTCATGATTCAGTATATAAGTAAAGGATTAATAATGAAATAATTCAGAACATTAAAGAAAAGAAGCTTAGATCTCAAGACTTATCTTTGGTTAATCAATGTAAGCAAACTTGTCAAAACAATAGTTTTTCAAAAAATTCTATCAAAACAATGTTACTGACATTTGATCCAAAACTGATGTTTCTAAAGAAACTGCAAAAAATAAAGTTTATATTATAATTAAAGTTTCTTTGTTCAAAATTTTAGAAACAAATCTGTATAAAAAAACTTAAAGAGCTAGAACAATTTATAAACTGTTTAGAAAAATTATTAATCTGTAATCAAAAAAGAAGTTAACAGAATTAGTATAGATAAAGCTTATAGAATTTCATATAGTGTAAAATTTATATTAGAATTAACTGATACTTAGATTTTAAATATCATAAAACTAGTTACAAAAAAATTATATGATATTTTAACCATTGGTCAGAATCAAACTGAACCTTTTGGTTTAAATAATATATTAAACACTAAGATAAATATATCATCTGTATTTCATCTTAAAAAGAATTTATTAAAAACTAAGATAAATGCATAAATTATTATAGTAATATTATGATTTACATAAAGAATTTTTTTTTTATTAAATGAATAGTCAATTACTTAGTCAAACTGTTAATTTTTATTAGTTAGTAATATCTTAAGTACATATATAGTTGGGGTGTGGTAACTTAGTGAAGTAGTTAAGTTGTTAACCCTTCAAGTAGTAGATTGGAAGTTCAAAACCCACTGATAGTAAAAAATTTAAAAAACCACCTATGTTATATTGGTATTATAGAAGGTAAGTAGTATTATTGCAATAGCACTTAATTGATTAGTTGGGTTCAGTATCTGTAACACAGTTGCACCAAATAACTGGCAGGTTATAGGGCATCTGCACAATGTTAAAGTTATACAGATAAATGCAAACCAGTATCAGATAGTACAAACCTAAGATAAGTTCTCATGTCTGTGTAAATCCATGAATAGGAAAACTGAAATCCACTTGGAAAGATCTGAGTAGAGAGGTAGCACAGGTCTTTGACAGTACTACTGTAAAGGCTAGACCTAGGAAACAGATATCAATGTGAAAGAAATCAAGCAGTTAAGAACTCAGGTAAGAGGTACCATCAACTAGGTTGCCGAAAGTCTCAAACTAAAAGAAAAGAACCTTGAGGAGCAGATTTTGGAATATCAGAAACAGATTATAGTCATACTGGGTTATCTGAATTAGAAGTTTGAGATTAAAAACAGAGATATATTATAAGTACTAGAGATATGCTATAAAGTTAATACTGGAGTTTGGATGAATTCTGCAAGGATAAGCCCTGTTAATAAAAGATTAAATGTGTGTAGTTAGTTAGCAAAAGAGTCTTTTGAAGTTCTACAGTCAGGTGATGTACTCTGAAATGTGTAATGGACTGACAGATATACAGACAAAGAGGTTATAGTTAAATTAGATGACATTTAGATGTACAGGAACTTGTATACTATTTGTCAGTATAAGTATAAAGATCAGAATATTTAAATAGGTAATTTTCTAGTAGATTGCAAGTATGGCAACTAGTGTAGAACCTGTTGTACAAGCAGATTATTTAAAATAGACAATCAAAAGTTATATATATAACTAGTTGTATACTCACTTTGTACAAGTTATATAATCATAATTAAAATATAATAAAGGCAATAACTATCAATAAAGCCTTAGTGTAAGCAAAAAAAAAAAAAGTATATATATAGTTTATAAAAATGTAGTTAGTTATATATATAACTTTAGTTATTGTATATTTAAAAGTTCTACTTTAAGGTTATTTATTATCTATTATATCTAATTTTTGCTTTTAGATATTTTATTTAAATGCTCTAACTTATCTAATTAGTATCTATATAATTTTAATTATTTTACTTTAAAATAAATAATTTTGTGCTACTTTATATTAAGAATTATTTAGGTTTAACTTAATCTCTTTTTATGCTAGTACTCAGATTATAGCATTAAAGCCTATCACTTGTCAATAAAGTTTTGAGAATCTTTTTATTAATTTACTTATTTACTTTACAGATCTTAATAAGATTATATCTTTGTAAAGTTTATCTGAAGCCTAGTATTATTTCATAGCATATTCTTAATACTTTAGTATATTTTTGTTTTTGTTTCTAGATTTCTAATCCAAATAGTCTAATAGAACTATAATCAGTCTATTAGTATATTAGATTGGTCTAATTTTTTTTTTTAGTTTTTTTTAACTAAAATTCTAATAATCTAGTTGGTAATATTTAAAGATTTTTACTTGTTTGGTTTCTTTATATTAGTATTTGTTTCTTAAATTTAGCTTTTACAATAGTAATATTAAAGATCTGTATTAGGAAATTTATTTTTGAAATATAGGTTTATGTTTGCCTTTGGTGTAAAAAACAAATGGGTCAAAATAGAGTTTGTTTCATAATTTATTATCTTTTTTAGAATATTTTTGATAAGAGTCATCAAAAGTGTATTTGGTAAGTGCAGATGTAATATATTATAAATATAATTCAGTATTGGGTTTTGAATTTGTAAATATTTTTTTTTTTCTTTTTAGTATTTTAGTAATTAAAAAATAAAGATATTTAGAGTTTATACAAGTAAGTATATAGTAGTTAGCTTGTTTAAAGATTTCATATTATTTTTTTTACAGATTATGTAGTTCTGTAAATCCATAAGTATTAGGCAAAAGTTCTTTAAGATAAGAAATAAAGTGTTGTTTGAATTAGTATTTGAGGTAATTAGATACTTTGGTTTTGTCAATAGCATTTGAAAATTGTCTACTATATAGTGGAAAAGCTTTTTTAAACCATCATTAAAGTGGAAGAATGAGTTTTTTAAAGAGAGAATGTTGTATTTGTTCATAAATAAGGTCTTAAGAATATTAAATTCTAGTTAAATATTGAATTGAGTATCTATATTGATAAAGAGATATTTTTCATTTTTGTTATATCCAATAAATTTTATGATATTTTAAATCTTTTTAGTCTAAGTTTAATGTTTTCTACAAATTTTATATAGTTAATAGCTTGATAATTGTTGAATAAGTATAGATGAAGGTAGGCTAGGTTAATACAAAATTATAAACAATTTTTAGTTTTAAGAAATAAAATAGTGGCAGATGAAATGAACATTTCTAGGTAGTTGAGTTTAGTAAAGAGTACAATAGTGAATATAAGAATAAGTTTTTTGAGACTCTCTTCAAAGATATTAAAAGATATTGTAGCAAATTAATCAGTTATAGGATTATGTTATTGAATTAAGTCTATTAAAAATTTAGATTTAG